CGGGGTGGGCGCGGGCGCGGGCGGTCGGCGGGGTGGAGGGTCGTGGCGCGAAGCGCAGTAGTAGCGCTTGTGCACCGTGTAGGTCTCGTGGCGACTGAAGCGGATGTTGCAGGCCTCGCACAGTGTGCGGCTAGGGTCGTCCTCCGCGTCGTCCACCGAGCTGCCCGGGCTCTGACTGCCCTCGCTGCCCCGGCCGGCCGCCTCGGCCTCGGGCGTGGCCGCATCGCCCGCGTCGTCCTCGCGCGTCCCAGGGCCTGGAGACGAGCGCGTCGCCTCAGGCTCGGCGGGCGGGCCGGGGGTCGCCCGCGGCGGGCCCGGAATCGTCTTGGGCCTGCGCGCGGCGGGCGTGTCCTCAGGCGGGCGGCGGCCGGAGCAGTAGAGCCGCTTGTGCACGTAGAAGTTGTTGACGTTGTTGAAGGTGATCTCGCACTCGAAGCACGTGGCGCCCTTGGCCCCTGCGAAGAGGCCGGCGGGGGTCCCGGCCACGCCCGCGCCCTGCTGCAGCCGGCTGTGCACCAGCTCCGACATCTTGGCCAGGATCTCCGAGGCCTGCGGCGCGCCCGAGGGAGCGCCCGCGTCTGGCCCGAACACGTAGTGGGGCAAGAAGAGCGCTCCAGCCAGGCCCAGCTCGCCGGGTCCCGGGCTGGAGCCCGGCGTGGGGCTGGACAGCTCGGCTTTCACCCTGGCCGCAGCCGGACTGTGCGGTGATGGTGTCCGCGACAGGGCCTGGGCCCCTGGCTCTCCAGGGCCCGGAGCACGGGCTGCCTCTGGCTCCTCCACCGCCTCCACTTTGATGCTCCTGGGAGCTGCAGGGGTCTCACTGCCGCCGCCATTCTGGGGGGCCACTCTGGCCTCTCCGTTGGTGGCCTCAGCCAGGACCTTCCTGTCTTGTCCTGGTGATGGGGCAGGTGCCAAGCCTAGGTCCCCCGAGGCCCGGGGGCCATGTGGGGCTGAGTGTTGCTGGATGCTGGCAAGACCGTCTGCAAGGTGACCACAGGGATGGCTTCTCAGGCCGGGGCCAGGCTCTGGCCAGGCCAGAATGGGAACAGTTGTGCTTGGCAGAAGTGGTTTATGTATGATTACAGCTAAAATTGACCCTACCTGCCTGTGGACAAGCCCCCTTCCCTCCCTCCTTGAGGCCGGTGGGGCAGTGGCAGGGACTGCTCACCTGGGGGCAGCTTGGCAGCTGGATGTCCGGCCCCTGGAGAGTAGATCTCACCCTTAGAGCCAGGCTGGCAGACCATGTGGTTGGTCACCAGGTGGCTGTAGAGGATGTCCCTTGTGGTGGAGATGAAGCCACAGCTGTGACAGACACCTATGGGCCATGCTGTGGTGGTCAGAGCCCTGTGACAGAGGTCATGGCCCACACCCCCTCCCATCCCCCAGCCCACCTACCACTGAGTGTGTCTGTGTGCACCTTGAGATGGCGCTCGCAGTTGGCCTTGGTGGTGAAGGCTGACAGGCAGATGAGGCACACGAAGGGCCGCTCTCCTAGAACACACGGGAGAGTCAGGGCCAGCTCCAGCGTCCCGCCTGGCCAGCTGCTCGAGGACCAGGAGACTGGGCCCTGAGCCACACCTTGCTGGCATGGATGGCCTGGTTTGGAAGCCCCCTTTGGCCCCTAGGACCAGGCCTGGGCTGACTACCACGTGCTGGGGGAGCCCGGTGCCGGCCGCAGGGCAGCGGCCTGACTGCTGGGTGTGCTGGTCTAGGAGGGGCTCACCACTGTGGCTGCGCATGTGGATCTCCAGGGAGCTGGCACTGGGGCAGCTCTTGCGGCACTGGGGGAAGGGGCAGACGCGCTCGTTGGGGTAGGACTCCTTGGGCTTTTCCTCCGTGGCTGCCGTGGCTGGGGAGCCGGCGCTCTGGCGGCTGGCACAGTAGTAGAGCAGGTGGGCCTGAAGGTTGCGCTCGCTGCGGTACCAGATGCCGCAGTCCTTGCAGGGGAAGACATCCTCTGTGGGGCAAGGTGGCACCAGCTGAGGGTGGGCACTGGGCAGCAGGTCTGCCGACCAGCCCAGGCAGGAGGGCGGCCTCTCCATAGAGGGCCTGAGATGGTCTCGCCCAGTGCGGTCACTTCCTGGCTCTCCTGTAGTACCCCTGGCCCCATTTGATGGATTTTGAGACCTCGGCCACCCCCAGGCCAGCCTCCATGCCTGCTGCCCTGAGGAGACGTCTCTGATATACAAGGGTGGTGGCCTTGCCCTGCCCCAGGAGGCTGCCTCCTCGAGGGAACCTGGCACCTGCTGGTGGGGGGAGGTGGCTTCCGGCCCAGCTTCTCTGCTGTGCTGTTTACCTCTGCTCCTGGGTTTTGCTGATTTGGGCCTCAGGCAGCTCTGCTCTCTCTGCTAAGGCCTGAGAAGCCACTGCTGGGGATTTGTCTGTCTCTGCAAGGTCACAGCTAGGAACTCCGCTGCTGGCTGGGTGAGGGGCAGGGGTTGCAGCCCTGGGCCTGAGCCAGGATGGCCACCGACTGCTGCCAAGGCCAAGCCCTGGGCAGACGTAGCTCCACTAACGGCAGAGGCCTTGGGCTGTGTTGCTGCTGACCCTGAGCCACAGGGAGGACACGGGCCTGGAACCTGGGCCTCAGGAATCAACCTGGGTCTGGCTTCTCATCGGTGCCAGACCCCAGCTCAGCCCCTGCCCACCGCCCCTGGAGGAGCTGGGAAGGTCTCAGATGACAAGGTATCCACCCCACTGTGGTGTCCTTCAGCTGGCATGTTCCGTGGACAGTGCTGTGTGGGATTGAGGTGCTGACACCAGACCCGAGACCCTGGAGGAGGAAGCTGGGGCCCCCTGCAGCCAGCCCTCTGAGTGCCTAGACCCTGGGGTGGGGGACACAGTCATGAAGGCTGAAGGGGGGACATGGGACCCTCACTAACCCACTGGGCCATTGTGTCTCCCTGGAGTCAGGTCTCCCAGGCACCCTGGGAGCCAGCTGGGTAGCACTCCCATCCCTGCCCAAGTCAGGTGGCCACCCTGGCCTCCCATCTCCCTCGAACGCTCATTCCCATTCCCGGGGAAGAGACAAAAGCAGACACGCCCTCCCCATTAGCTTACTGCCACTGCTTGGCCCCAGAGGACCTGCCTTCTCCCCTGTCCTTCCTTCCTTAAGCCCTGTGTAGAGTCCCTATCAGAGCCCCTTGCCTGAGCCGCCTCTGAGCTTTGCCTCCTGGGGCCATCTCCTTCACAGATGTGCGCTGTCTGGGGCTGGCTGCTGTCTGTGTCAGGTCGGGGAGGGGCTCTGCAGGGTGGCCCCGCTGCTGTGCGCCATGCTGGGGCATAGGGTTGCGGAGTGTGGGGTGTGGGTGTCCTGTCCTTGGCTGTCCTCAGCTTTAGAGGCAGCTGTCCAGTCTGAGGCTCCAGGCGAGCCATAAGCTTTCCGTTGAGCATGGGGGGTGCAGAGTCCAGTCTGGACCTCAGGCCAGTTTGCCTCTTTTCCCACGGTGTGCCTGGGCTCTGGGGGCCCTGCTGTCCCGGCCCTGGGCTTTGCCCACACTGCTGCCCTAAGGAGTAGTGTGCTACCTGCAGCCTGGCACTGTCTTGCCCTGCTTCCTCTTGTGGATCCCTGCCTCCAGCTGCCCTGCCCTGGCACCCCCCTGTGCTCTCCAGCACCCAGGTGTCCCAGCCTTGGCTGTGGTACTGTCCCTCAGTTCAGTGGTCTGCCGGGTGGGGGGTAAACATTTGACCCTTTGGGGGTCCTGGGGGTGAACCCAGGGCCTTGTGCTTGCTGAGCAAGTCCTGCCCTGAGCTACCTGTGGCCCCACCTGCAGCCCCGAGCTCCTGAGCACACCAGGACCCGCCCCAGGGAGGCGGGGCACTCACTGTTGATGACCGCAGAGGCCAGGATGGATGCCATGCCGGCCTGCTGGGGCAGGAGCTGGATGTCGGTGGGCACTGGGGCGGGACACTCGGGCTCTGCAGGCTCCTTCTTCACAGGGTGGCCGCGGGGCTCGGCCATGAGGAACACATGCAGGAGTCCACCTGCAGGCACTGGCTTGGTGACCCTGCACCAGAGGGTGTCATCTGGAGGACACAGGCAGCCATGATGCTGGGCCTCAGTGGCCACTGGTCCCTCCCCAGCATCCCCCCGTCTGGTCCCTGAGGACCGCCATGCTGCCTGGGGTAGAGAGCAGCAGGTTCCAGGCCAGCAGGAGGTTCTGCGCCTGGGTTTGCAGCTGTGCCTGGCTGGTGCCCATGGTGTGCCTCCTGCCCTCTGGTGGCCAGCCCTACTGCCTCATTCCCAGGAAAGCAGGTGGATAGCCACGTGGGCTCCCAGGAAAGTGGCTGGAGGGTGGCCTCAGGTGGGGACCTTAGAATAGTTCCTCTGGGAATTGACTGGGTAGGACTATTCCCACAGAGGCCTCTAGGGGGCAGTCTCTGCCAACAAAGCCCAGGAGAGCTGGGCCCCGCTGGTCTGCCTTCTGGCTGGCAGTTCATGGGGCTGTGCTTCCCTGTGCCCAGCTTGGCCAGGGAAGGAGTGCTGCTGGCCTCAGGAGCAGCAGCCTGTGCCTAGACTGGGGCTCCCTGGGCCCATCAAAGCCCAGAGGCCTGGGTGATTGTCATGACCGCCACCAGTGCCTGGCTGGGGCTCCAAGGCACAGCGCCACCCAGCGCAGGCCACCTTGTCAGCATGGCCACTGGAAGGAGCCACACCTGGCCAGAGCCCCATTGCACAGGCCGCAGGAGGGGTGGGTCAGAGGGTGCTGACTGGCTCGTGCCCCAGGCAGGCCCACAGCTGCCTGTTCCCTGCTGGCACCCAGCCCCGGTGCCCAGGGCTCCTTCTAGCTGGTCTCTCCAGGCCCCAAGAATGTCTTTTGGTGAGGAGGATGGGACAGGGGAGGCAGGCTAATGGGGGCAGGGTGCTGGCCTGGGTCCTGGAGTTGAGGGCAGGCAGAGCCAGGTGCAGCACTGCCCCTGGGAGGGAGCTCTGCTTCTGCTGGGCATGCTGCAGCTGACCCCCAGGACAGTGCTCGAGCCCCAGCTCTGGACAGGAAGAGCTGAGGGAAGGTGAGGACCGGCAGGGGCAGGCTTGCTGCAGTCCTCCTCAGGCCCTGCCCTTCTCCAGGGGGGAAACCCGGCCCTGCCCAGTCCCACAACACCTGCAGGCACAGTGAGGTTTGGACTCGGCCCCCCAGCCCAGCAGGGCCAGTCAACACTGTAGCTGTCCACCTGTCAGCCAGTCTGGGCTTCCCAGCAGCCCTGGGAGTGGTCCCCCTGGAACGGGGAGGAGAGGAAGGGAGCATGTCTTCCCCAGAGGACAGAGGGCAGCCAGCCTCCCTGGGCTCCTTTAGGACCAGGTGGGATCTTCATGGGACGGCAGCTGCCCTGCCTGCAGGAGTGTCCCTCAGGGTGCTGGGCTGTGGCCTGAATGTCTGGGTTTCCCTTTAAGGGCCAGCCCAGGCAGAGCCAAGTGACCCCACCTTCCGGAAGGCTGCTGGGAGGGAGGGAAGCGCCACATGATACCAACCCTTCCTGTGGATCTCTGCGTTGGCTTCGGCCTCTGTCGGGGCCTGGGGCAGTGTCCTCAGCCAGCAGGCCTCATCCACCAGAAGCAGGGTCAGGGCCGGGCCCTGGGGAGAGCAGGGATGGATGGGCTCAGTCATCCAGGGAGAGCCACTGGGGCGCCCCGAGACAGGCTCCACTGTGCCTGGTGTGGCCAGGCTGTGGGGCTTCGTGTGGTGGGCGGTGAGTGGCTTGGCAGCTGATGGACCTGTGGCCCACATCCTGTGTCCCACAGCAGTATGTCCACTGCTGGGACTCAGCCACAGCAGGGAGCAGCAGCTGTAGTTGGGTGCTGGCTGGGTCCTTTTGGAAACCAAGGCCCAGGTCAAGCAGCATGCCCCAGGTCACACAGCCAGGGAAGGGCAAAGCCTGAATTGCACCGAGATCTGTCCCCACCATGCCCACCGCCTGGGCATCCTACGCCCACATGCCCCTGCATCCTCCAGATGAGCTCTGGACTGAGGACACGAGCCCAGAGTGCAGCTTTCCAGAGACCGACTGACCCCACTGTGGGTTGCCCCTGTTGCAGAGTGGGGAGCAGAGAAGGGCTACCTTTGTCCTTGTCCCTAGACTGGCTGGCCCGCTCAGGCCCAAGGCCAGTGGTGTCATTTGGGTTAGCCCTGGGTCCACCTGGTCTATCTCCTGGGAAGCAGTCCCCGTCTCCTCTGGGCTGGCCTCTCTTCCTGCACCCTTGCTGGCCCCCAGCTCCAGGGCAGAGAAGGCCCAGGCCCATCCTGTGCTGAAAGAGGGCCAGGGTGGGGCAGGTGGCCCTGGTCATGCATGAAGGGTGAGGCGCAGAGCCCCAGCAGGCAGGGGGTGGGGCCTGTCTCCTGCACACTGGGCCTCAGCTCCAGGCTGCCCTTGCTGTCTGCAGTGGTCCAGTTCCGCTGGGGCCTGAGGACCGCGGTGCACTCCACACACGCCTTCCTGTCAGCCCTCTCACTCCGTTTTATTCACATAAACACCTTTTAATCAGAACTAGGGGCACCTGGAAGGCCTCTGCTTGACCTGTCCATCTGGGGCACCCGTGTCTGTGAGACAGCTGGCCACAGTGCCCAGCAGGAAGGATGAGCCTGAGGCTGGGGTGGGAGGTGGGTGGTGACTGCCAGTTCCTGGGCAGCCCCTGCACCTCCCTGCCTGGTCTTCCTCTGTCCCGGGCCTGGCTGCTCACTCTGCCTCAGAGCCAGGCGGCAGGTCCAGTCCAGGCTCACCCACCCCCCCTGCAGCCCAGGGCCACTGCTCTGGACCACCTCTGCTCAGCTCTTCGTGTGGCCTGCAGGGAGCTGGCAAGATAGGGCCTGCCGGGACAAGGCCCAGCAAGGTTGGGGCGGGAGGGCCAGGTGGCTTCTGCGTCACCTGCATGCTGCCACGTGGCAGTCCTGGAGCAAGAGGGGGTGGAGGTAAATCGGCCAGTGGGCTGGGGAGAGCCCTGGCCTGGGAGGGGAGTCCCACAGCCTTCGCTGGAGCCAGACTGTGGCCTTGGCTTTCCATCTGGAAATGGGGTAACACCTGACCCTCTCCTGGAGCTGCCGTGAACCCTGAGAGGGCCCCGAGCCCTGGCCTGCTCTGGGCCTGACAGCCTGCTGCTGGCCACTGCCTGCCCGCCTTGACTCAGTTTCCCCAGGGACGCTGGGAAGCAGGATCTGAGTGCAGCCCTCTGAGCAGTGCCTGCCTGGGTCATGGCAGCACGTGGGCTCCGGCGGCCCAGCTGCTGGCTTCCCTTGGACCAGGAGGACCAAGCAGTCGCGGCATCGCCTCGGGGTCGGACTGTCAGGTCAGGGCCAGGCAGTGACCTCCAGATGTCCACTGGGTGTCTTCTACCACAGGGCCTGCTGCAGGCAAGCTGGAGAGCAGAGGGCACCCTGCCTGGGTGCTCGGGGCTGCGCACCCGCTGCCTCTCTGTCACTTAGCAGAGGCACCTGTGAGGGCTGGGAGCGGACCCCGGGGCTGTGCCAGGTGGACGGGGAGCAGAGGCACCTGTGAGGGCTGGGAGTGGACCCCGGGACCGTGGCAGGTGGACGGGGCACACAGACTGGGGAACTCCGCTCGGGCGCCCTGCTGCGCGGGTCTGGGCTCTGGCGGGCGGGCGCTGGGGCTGGCCCTCCCTGCCTTGGCCTTCTGAGTCTCTAATGAATATTAATGAGTGGAGGAGGGTGAGAAAATTAATCTGCCTGATCCCGCGATGGGTGCTGCCGTAACGATATGAAATCTAATTATTCGTCCCAATATTTCTAAACCCTCAAACTGAGACTGACAGCCTCGCGGTCGGTTTAATGCTTATCGCCCTCAGAAGCAGCGTGTTCACTGCATGATAAAAACGCGCGGCTCTGCTGACGCCGCACAACCTGGTTTTCCCGTGGAGGTCTGGGTGCAGGCGGCACCAGGCTCCACCAGGCTCCCGCTGGCACGCTGCGGGTCTGGCCCTGGGGGCGGCTTGAGCAGGGAGGGCCCGGGGACCTCGCCACCCCACCTGTGTGCCACAGCCAGGAGATGGGGTGGCCACCGCTCCCAGGCCAGCCCCGGCCAAGGCCGACCCCAGGTCAGCCCCAGCTGCCGCCTGCCTTCCCCTCAGCCCTGGGGCAGCCGGGCTCCTCTGCTGGCTTCGGAGCAGCGCTGGATAGGAGCCTCTCTGGTGCCGAGGGCCCTCCTGTCCTGCCTCCCAGGGGCCACAGGGACAAGCTGTGGAGGGGCCAGAACATGGGAGACGCTCCTCGCCTGGCCTGGGCCTCCTTAGCCTGGCAGGCGTGTCCAGGGTTGGAGAAGGGCCCCAGGCCTGTGCTGCTTGCTGCCCCTCAGAGTCACTGTCCCATGTGGCTCCCTGGCCAGCCCCACTCCAGCCTGGGATGCCGGTCAGCCACTTTAAATTCCCCAGTGGATCTGAGAACCGTCCTGTTCCCCCAACAAAGAGGTCAGTGTCTCCGCTCTGCGGGCCGATAACATCGGAAACCCTATCTGCGCCACATCCGCTGTGACCACTTTCTCCAAGGCTGCCCCAGCCCTTGCTGTGCCTATCACCAGACCACTGGGAGGGCTGGGCCGTCCTGGTGGGGCGGCCGGGCCCAGGGCACAGCGCAGCTCATGGAGGGCTGGGGCTCCACCAGGGCCTGACCATTACCCTCCCGCCCTCCTCGGGCCCCTTCACCTGCCCCAGATGCTGCTCGTGAGGAGCTGGCTTGCGGGTGAGGGCTGAGGCCTGCGGAGGTGGCCACACAGGACGAGAACCCAGGGGTCAAGGCTCTGCTCCCCAGGCCTTGTCATTCAGTCCCCCACTCCACTCAGATGGTCCCCAAGCACCCGCTGTGGCCAGGTGCAGGGGCCACAGGGGACAGGGAGCTGGAGGCATGGAGTGTGCCTGGCTGTGTGTTGAGATCAGCAGTTGTGCCCTGGATCCCCACAGGCAGTGAGATGCAGGCCCTGCTCAGTGCTGGGAGGCCCTGGAGGGTGTGGACAGGTTGTGTGCCCCTCTTGCTACCACCCGGTCTCAGCTGCCCGCCCCCTAACTTCCAGCCCTTTTCTTGGGGTAGCCCCTGGGCCCAGGGAGAGAGGCAGCCATAGGTGGCCCGGTGGCCATGGCTGCCCTGGCTCAGGACAGGAGGGCGCTCCCAGTCCTTCACTTGGGTCTCTCTGGGGGTGGGGCAGGAGGTGTCCCAGAGCCAGGGTAGGTTCCAGGCTTGTGCAGGTGGGAAACGAGGCCTGGGGCAGTGTGCCCAGGGCCAGCAGGGCCAGCAGCAGGCCTGGATTTCCAGGCCTCCTGCCTCTCCATGCCCGATGCTGCGGCAACACTAGGCCCCGCAGGGTCATCCTGTGGAAGGCCAAGGTCCTGCCTGGGCTGAGCCGCCTCGGCTACTTGCCAGCTCTGGGGAGTGGGCTGCGTGGGGCCTCCAGAGATGCCCATCTGGAGCCCGTGCACACAGCCTCGTTTAGAGAAAGGTCTCTGTGGATGGATGCGCCCAGGATCTCAAGAGAGCATCTTGGATCAGGAGGGCCTAAGTCCTGTGCCGGACAGAGGTGGGGAGGGTCAGGGAGAAGGCCACAGAGGCTGTGCAGAGTCCAGGTGATGTGTCCGCAGCCGAGCACCAACTGGGGCCACCAGAAGTTGCAGAGGAGCCTTGGACAGGTCCCCTCAGAGCCCTGGAGGAGCCACTGTCCCCACCTTGGTCCCTGACTTCTGAGAATAGAACTCTAAGACCCAAGGCTGTGGTGCCCAGGGGGCTTAAGTGGGCACGAGTGTCTGGGCTTTGCCTGGGCAGTGACCCCTGTACCCACCTCCAGGGCTTCCTGCGCAGCCAGGGAAGGCCCTTCAGCCCTGTGCCCTCAGAGCTCCCAGCCCTATCTCTAGGTGAGGGGGTCTCAGGCCACTGTGGCTTCAAAGGGCACTTCCACCCTCTCTGAACAAACACTGGCCAGAGTCGTGGGGCAGGGGAGTCCACGTGGCCACCTCAGTCTCTCCAGCATGGCTTGTCAATGGTCCCAGTGCTGCTTGGTAGCAAGGGCCTTTCCCTGGTCTCACTGAGACCATGGTGCGCTCATGGCTAAAGGGAGTGAACCGTGGACAACAGGATAGACAGACGGGCAGAGCCAGCACAGACCAGGCTGCAGTCAAAGAGTTGGCTCATTAGCTCATCCCCCACCTACCCATTCATCTGACCATCCACCCATCCCAATCCACTCACCTACCCATCCATCCATCATTCGTCCATGTACTCATTTACCTACCCATCCCTGTCCCATCTATCCATCCACCCACCATCCATCCACTCACCACCCATTCATCCACCAACCCACCCATTCATCCATCCATCCCTCCCTCCCCATCCATCCATCACAAGTGTTCCTTCTATATGTGAATATGAAGTCTGGAGCTGGCTGGGCCCTACTTCCCTCACTATCTGTCCTCTAGCCATCCATCCACTTACCTATTCATCAGCTCATCTATCCACTTATTCATTGTTCATTACCCACTCACCCATGCATTTACATCCATCAACCATTCATCCATCCATCCGCCATCCATCCATCCATGTCTATCCATCCATCATCTATCTATTCATCATCCACCACCCATCCATCCATCCATCCATTCACCATCCACCATCCATCCACCCATCCACCATCCA